GTGACCTTTAAAAGGTATCCCCAGAAGTACAGGATGTGTGACCTTCAAAAGGTATCCCCAGAAAGTACCAGAATGTGTGACCTTCAAAAGGTATCCACATAAAGTACCAGGATGTGTGACCTATAAAGATTAATAGAATACAGAGAAAATGTTCAATATTAACCACATTACATACCTGCATACCTCCTCTGTCTTCATTACCTGCCATTCCATCAACTTCATCCATTAAAATACAATGTTTATGCCCTTTGGTCTGTTCACTGGTGCCTCCAAGAAAATCAACCACTGTTTGATTATTCAATGACTGGGCAACAACCTCCTTCAAGCTTCTCTTGCTTCGAGTATCACTGGCATTCAGTTCAATGTATGAAAACCCAGCTTCCTGAAACATGATGTAGAAAAGTAAAACGGTATTTGGAATGTAAGGATTTACAAAACAGTAACATTTAACTTACTGTTTTGAAGTAAAACAGCAGTGTTTGCTACAACACCTTGTTTGCGATGTGAGTCCCATGCAACGTCATCAACATCTTTAATAGTTTAACCATTCCTAACTGAATAGTGTTACAGTAGTACTGGTATTTGCATTAAATGATTAAAACATTTAAACAACATTATTTAATATGCATTTCTTTATAAGTTTATTTCATTATTAAATTTGAACTAAACTGACTAAATTTCCTACAGATTACATATCATGATGACATTTTTGTTAAAACATTATTAAGGTGGTAAACATTGACTTTGGCAAGCATAATGTTAATAACCTAAATTAAATACATTTCAAAGGCTATACACAGCTGCACTGTATATTGTAGTTACCAGATCTAAATGTAACTTGAGAAAGGTTAGCGGATTAAGTCTTAGATAAAATGTACCTGACTTACCTGACATACTAATTGTGAACTGGTGGTTTTACCAACACCAGGTGGTCCTGACAATAAGCAGCTTTGAAACCAGATCCATCATCTTTATTCATGTAACCTGTAAAAACACACAATAACATCATCAGGAAATAGTAAAATTACACAATAATTTCTTAGTGTTTGACAGTACCAGTATTCAAATTTCTTCCACACATGTTTGGAAATGAGCACATTTGATTCTTGCTCCAAGCATTTCAAATTACATATTATCGAACAAAATTGAGAGAAAAATAAATCAGATGATTTAAATTCACTGAGCAAGTTAGTGAGGCCACAAATAAAACTTACTAGGAAGGACTGGTGCTTGACAACACATTTATTATAAGCTATCAAAATGGATGGTTGTGACAAACACTTGACATGGTTTAGTGTACAGGTTTGGATTAGTTGTGCTGTTTAAGGTACATTGCTAGTATTCAACTTAATAAATAGGAGAACAAATTTATCATAATCTTTTGTTTTAAAGTGTCACATAATTATTGATCATTTCTAATGTCACATAATTATTGATCGTTTTTAATGTCATCAACTTTTCAGGTTTTTATCCCAGTATTAGATATTTGTTTGGAGAAAAAATGCCTAAAAAGATGCAGTTTTGGTATAATTTCCATGTTAAAGCAAATATTTCATAAAAAATGAATAATAATCATCAGAATGTCTTAAAAAGTTTTGACAACCATATGTTCCCATCTTATAACTATTTTTCACCATATGTAAACAAATGAAATTTTGAGATATGCTGAGAAATATTTCTCATAATAGCCAATGTTGAGTGGCCCAAAAATCACCATTTTAATGATTGTTCGACCAGTGTTTTGTGCGGAAAGTAGTTTGGAGACTTTAACATTATCTGGGTTTCATGAACAACATCATAAATTAGATTCATACTGAATGTCAGGGAAATCCTATAATTTGTTTGAATGGCTGTCAACCACTTTAACTGGAAGGAATTCGTTGCTGCTGCAATTAATTGTGAGATGAAAGTCCTGAGAGAACACATAAAGATCTATACCTACTAACAAGAGGTACAATACACAACTATGTGCATGGCGTTTCACCCATTTTCACTTAAGATCACATTCAATTGCTTAAGCTTCCTGTTAAAATTATTAATCGCACCAAAGTTGCACTAAATTTATGGCCAGTGTGAGTAATAAGTGATTGTATTACTGAAGCAATTAAGTGGTTTGGCGAGTATTTTTTGAATGAATGATCTCAGGTAATCTAAACCCACAACCAAGATACTGTATCATATTTTAGAAATTTGAGTAGCTTGTCAAGAGAGCAGCATCCAGTGCTGGTTAGCTAATTAGGTCTGCATGTATTATGTGGTAATTTCATTCATTATTGTTAAGCAATTAAATCGTTTCAAATGTCCATACTGCTATTGGTTTGAAATATGTTTGATTCATTGCAAACTCTTTATCGCATGTCAAACACCGATATCTAAGTTGCATACGCTGACAACACACACAAATTAAAAAGGTTAAAAAGGTAGAAAGCAGAAATAAAGTAAAGTAGGAATTCCTTACCAGGCTTTTTATTTCCAACATGTATTTGATGCCATTTCTTCAACCAATTAAATAATTTCTTAACATTACTTTTATCACCTTGTTGACCAATAATTTGTTTAAGGTTTGTTGGTTTATGTTTGTCCACCCACAGCAAGCTATGTGGTGATTGGTCAGTACTACTAGTTTTTAAAGGTGAACTGGTCTTCTTAACCAATGGGCTTTCAGCTCTTGAAGTTGAAGGCAATGATTCTCTTGCTGGTGTGTCTGTGCTTTTTCTTTTGGGTGTCTCTTTTACCTACATGTAAAGGTTTTAAAATAATGCTGTCATTATGTACCATCATGGTCTAATCCTAAAAAGTACTATACAAGGAGAAGACTGTAGCAAGCTGGGGCATGCAATTTTGTATGTGGAATTGAAAAGAGGTAAAAATTATTGTAGTTACACAGTTCAGTGAAATCTTGTCTGATTACCTTCCAATTGTTGTGCGAGTCAACAGATCTCCTCAAAAACAGTCTAGAAATGTTGTCTTGATTTTCATTATTAACCACGTAAATTCATTAAATAAATTCATGTCATAAAGAATATGTAGTCACACTTTTGTGTCTGTGGCAATTATCACTTGATACAGCACATGCGGACAACTAAGAACTGGCACATCTATTGTGTCAGTAAATTGGCTTAATCAAATTAGAAACATGTTATTATACTTTATTAGCCAATCAACATCACGTCATGATCAACCAATGATGGTGCAAACAGACAACTTTTCTAGAATACTCTGGATAAGGACGCATGAACAGTATGAAGGTAACAGGACTGAGTTTACATTACTATAATATAACATAACCTGAGTTTTAATCTAGTGTATATTTGTAATTTGGTAAAATGTTCTTGTTTTGCTTGTAGCCCAGGTGGGTAATATTTTTTCAATGAGATTCATTTGGTTGAAATTTTAACTTTTGAATGCAATGTACATTATAGTGTTGTAAGTATTAACTTTAAAAGCTACATAATAAAAACATGACATTGGACTTAAATTTTTCATGACAAAGAAGTAATATGTTGCTGATACTGTGAATTGCAAGGTAACCTAAATATACTTTTAGAAGCTGTCACTTCTTATGATGCCATTATTCCAAATATGTACAAAGCACAAAAAAAGTTAAAGTCTTACCTTGCCCATCTGGTTTGTAGGATCATATTTGGAGATTTTTCCTGGCAATGTTTTAATTAAATTTAATAAACCATCTTCATCAATTTGTTTTGTTTTAAACTGATTAGCCTGTCAAGATATGATGAGATAAAAAGGAATAATAAAGACTCAAAAAATGAAGTATAAATGATAAATAAAGAAATTTAGTGTTTAGCATATGCATGAATGAACTATCCCTGTGATGCTATGCTACGTTTTAAAATAAATCTACACCAAACATCAATCAGCTACATACTGATACCAGCCAAGAACTGATTGAAGTTGCATACCCACTTTGAATAATCTGCAGAAAACCTCTCACTGACCCTTGGAATTAGGGATTTGGGGATTTTGTATGGTTAATGTGAAATCCTATTCAATAGATTCCAGAAATTAAATATATAAATAGCATCTAAAATATCTATAAATGTCCTTGGGTGATTACAACAATAAAAATAATATAATTTGGTGAGCTTCAGTGCGGTTAGCTTCAGTGCTCAAATTTTTCAAAATTTGCTGCCAAACCAACAGACTTTATTATTTTTCATGAGAAACATAATCAGTGGTAGGTGTTCTGCACATAATACAATGTGTAAATGTTTACAGGGA